CACGGCCTCGACGGGCACGGCCTCGACGGGCACGGCCTCGACGGGCACGGGGTCTAGCTGTGACAGAAGGATAGCAGAGTGAATGTGCAGTTTACAAGATGGAGACCTGCTATGATGTATGGTAGGGAGAGGCAGAGCTGGAGGCGGCACAGTTGAAGACGGGAAGGCTTTGATTTGGTGCGAGCAGGAAGGAGCAGATTAGAAACGAGTGCAGGACAAAGTTCAGCCTCCTGCAGCCATAAACACACGTTCATGGAGGGACAGCACACAAACACTGGACAAAGAGTGTTGGATGGAGCTGCCAGGCAGGAGCAATAGATGGAGACCCCAGAACATTCATGGCTACAGTGAAGGCACACGTGTGACAGGATGCTGCGCTAGTGTGAGGCGGAAGCAGATGATCTGCTGTGGCGTCCCCTAAAGGCAGCAGCAGGAAAACACAGCATCTAACTGTCCTCTACAGAGCAGCTTTACAGCCGTTTTCATTCCTTTGTGAAGTCTTTGAATCCCTGATATTCAGACAGTGATACAGGCGGAGCACGTTTCTGTTTGCTCGTCTTCACGTATCCGAGCGTACACATTCAACCTGTCGACTGTGTTTGTGGCGCTGACGAGCTTATAATAATGGCACACTGTGTAGTCCATACAGACCATCTAAGACCAGCTTTGGTGAGTAAAAGTCTTTTTACTGCTGCTTATAACCATGAACACACACGTGTTAGATTTCACAGAGACACAAATAAAAAAGATGAACTTCAGCGGCACAAACCTGATGCTCTGATCGTGTCGTGTAAACGCTGAATAAAAGAAACGCTTGGTGCTGAGATTTTAATGCCCCCTGCTGGACGACAATGCAACTCTCCCAAAGTCATTAAACACCACATGAGAAAACAGTACAGGCCAATTACTGTTCACCACAATAGAAATCATCTTTTGAGGCATCGCAAATGTCATCCAGGAGTGTGTGGCAAGTATACGGGCACCAGGCTGGAGCCAGAGCCACAAATTAAGTCTGACATTTCCCTCTAGAAATGCTCATTAGTCAAACAAGCCGGATGTGATAACTGTAATATCTCTAAATTGCAGCAATTAGAAAAGGTTTGCCGCGGGGACCTGAACATTTTCTTTGCCGTGTAAAATGTCAACAATGGGACAATCTCATCAGCCAGAATCAAAATGAGCCTGCATTACTGTCACTATGACAAGGTGTCCAATAAGCAGCACCTGCTAAATAATCTGTGCATTACCCATCAGTCTAATTGAAAAGTGTCCTTCTGAAACTCAGCTGACGGCCTCAGCAATCACACTGGATTGGTACCAATGCAAATATAACTACTGTGAGCAAAAACCTGGGTCTCATCTTTGAAGGGCCCAACACAGCAACACAGTTCATCAAAACGGCCTCGATACAGCCGGCTCTCTGTGCTCATGTAGAGCTGTGCAGCAGTGCCCTCTCCTGGCTCGGATGAGGCACTGCTGAATTTTCTAAAACGTTGATGGAAAGACACCAGAGACGGCCAAATTCCATCCAGAGTAACGTTGTGCGTTAGAAATGACCTCGACCTGTCCTGTCATTGGGAATAACCAGGACCAATCAGAAGTGGGGATGTGAAGAGGAGGCACAGGACGCCGCGCCGTTTCTCAGTATTACACGTCTGTGGTTTCATGTGTGGACTGGGTGGGTTGTTACTGTGACAATTTTATATCAACAGCATATTTAGAAAGTTGCTCCTGTGTTCAGTCCTTCCTTTGACCACTGTATATATTACTGATACCACCGTCCTGTATTACAACATCGATGTCTGACAGACATGGAGAACAAAGTTATGAAACGAGCTTCCTTTACCTTTTTGATGGAACTGCGAGCCTTCTCCTTCCACTGGTGGCTGCTCAGCTCCAGGGTGCAATGGACGTAGGTTTCTCTGTCATAGGAGCCCAGGATGAACAGTCTGAAGAGCCCCAACAAAAACACATTCAGAGATAGCAGTGAAGTCAGATCTATCCATTGGCCTGAGTGTTTGTAGCTCACCATACTGGACAAGAGTTTGGCCCAAATATGTAAAGGAACTACACAACACGACATGTCTGAGTGTAGCGTTTACACATCCTCTGTGTCGCCTGAGCCAGCACTCCATTGGACTGCCTGTGGGTCAGAGTGTGTGGTCAGCACAGGTGAGCTGCAGGACGACGTGAAGGCTCATGTGATGTGCCTTACTGTCACAGCCAAACACCCAGTCATGAAGCATCTGAGAACATTTACTGCAACATACGCATGTTATCATCAGCACAGGGACCTGTTCTGGATCAGTGCCGTGCAGTCCTGTGAAGAAGCTGACATCTTAATCAAAGTTGAATCTAAATGGTTTCTGGTGCCAAACACAATGCAAAGCCATCCAATGGGCCAGACCGGCCCCGCTGCAGGGGCTTCTGGGACGCCAGTGACTCGACTGGTTTAGATCAGACACATTTAAAAAAGCAGTGGTTTCCTTGCAGGTTCAGACCTGCATGTCAGTGGGAACATGGTTGTTTCGTGGTTTTATGTTTGAAAGCCAGTCACTCGTGTGTTTTAGCAAAACCAGCAAACACACAGGTCATCATCATCATCATCTGACTTCTCACCACCGACTGTAAACTGTAAACATTCCTACTGTACAAGCAGCTCCTCCCACTTTGCCAGTAAGCCTCTTTGTGAAAAGGACAGAGGGAATGGGAAATGGACTCACTCTCATGGAGCGCTCCCACAAAGCGCTCTATGCAACATGCCACAGTCACTGTCTTCTATGCTGTTAAGTACTCCCTAACTAAGAGCAACCTGGGGTTAGCATGTTGCCCAGCAATGTTTGGCAGGCAGACTGGGGGGTGGAACCACCAGCCTTTGCATCAGTACCTGCTCTACCCCAGAGGAGTATCACTCTGTGGCTGTAAAGCAACTGTTACATCCCACGTTTATACAAATCTGTGTCTTTAAAGTCTGTAACAAAATAAAACAGTTGGAGCAGAGAAAGACAAACACATGACTGCTTCACAGCATGCAGAAAAATCACATCTTATGCTCCAGTAAACCAAGTCCCCAAGACCCTCTGCAGACCCAGTCTGGACTTAACAGACGCACGAATGGTAAACCAGTGGATGCTTAGCTCCACTGGACAGCTTATTAACCACATGATATTCAGTCAGATGCACTTTGTAGTACAGAAAGGGAGAGACACTACATATTTAAAATGTGATTTAGTAATAAGATCCAGTCATTTGGTGGCCTGTGAAACACAAAGCATGAAAGAAACACACATACATCGACGACACGAGCTAACAAAGGACAGAGCTGTCAGTCAGAGCCAGCCGAGGCTAACAGCTCCAATATACACGTGCCAACCTTGGACAGAGGAGGGCGTGTTTGTCTCTGAAAGGAGACTCCTCTGTCCAACATCATGGACTAATGTACAAGCTAAAGTACACACAGGCAAAATGTGACACCATAACAAGCGGGTGTAGTGCTTCCCTTTGGAATAACACATTCCCAGTGGGCAGGGTGTGGGCCAACATAGCATTAAATCTATCGTTTTTATTTCGATAGCATAACATTATGTAGCTCTTTGACTACGTGACCTTAGCAAGTAGGGTCATCTGGAAAAAACTCTTCTCTCCCACTTCCACGGGGTCACGCTGTGGATAGGTCGCCAGACTGTAGGGCTGCCACGATTGGTCGACTAGTCACGATTACGTCGACTATCAAAATCGTCGACGGCTGATTTAATAGTCGACGCGTCGTTTGAAGCTTTGTAAGATCCC